TAGCAGGTGACCTGTGTTTGAATCTTAGTTCTGCCTCTGGTTGGCAGAGGGGCCTTGAGCAGGTCATGGGGCCTTTCCTGCCTCAGTTTCCTGCCTTGTCAAATGGAACTGAGGTTCTATGAGGATTAATTTTTTTTTTTAATGTAGATCATCAGTTGGGTACAGAGGTGTGTGTCTGTAGTCCCAGCTACTTGGGAGGCTGAGGCCAGAGGCTCACTTGAGCCCAGGAACTGGAGGCCAGCCTGGCAATAGAAAGAGACCCTATCTAGAAAAAGAAAAGCTAAACTAGACAGAACAACAACCAAACCTGCAGATTGTTTGGCCCAAGGCCTGACACTTGGCAGTCTTCAATAAATGGAAGCCAATCGTATAAGGTATTCCTGGTGCTACTGAGGGCCCAGCCTGCTTGGGCTTCATTCCTGAACTTTGGGAGGTGGTGCTCCGTGGCGAGCGGGGCAAGAAGAGCTTCTCTTATTTGCATATATACTTAAAAACCTTCCCCTTTCAAAATGCCTCCTTGGTAGGTTAATCTAGATTGTATAATGTGCATGGCAGTGTGATTTATCCAGGACTTGGGAATACCTGAGTGTGTCTATTTGGAGAGTGAGAAGGAGGTTGGGGACCATGGCTCTCTCAGTGAAGATCCCCTCGTCCCTTGGAGTGGGTGACAGGATGCTGTGGCCTTGGGCAAAGGCTGGCCACATGGTAAACAGGGACTCATCCTGGAGCTTGGGATGTCTTTCTATGGAATGAGGCCTGGCGTCCCGCACCCGTGGCCCAGTTGGCTCCACCGGAATTTCTAGATTCCTAAGGCCCTGGTGAAGAAGGCACCCTCCTGGCCCCTCGGGTTTCCCAGAGGGCCTGGTTTCTGTTTTGGTGTCTTGTTGTGGGGTTTCCATGGGGCTGCCCCGCTCGGTGATGGCACTGATCTCGGCTGCAACACCCTTGCTACCGAAGCCTCCGGAGGCAGGAGGGAGCCACACCTGCAGCCTTCCCTCTGGGGGCAGATGGAGGAGAAGGAGGAAGCCAAGGAGGAGGGTGGCAGCTTGTCCCTGTAGCCACAGCAGTCACTGGGCCGGGAATGGAAACTCTGGCGGGTCCCCAGAGCTGGTCTCAGGGTGAGCAAGAGGACAGCCCTGCCCAAGCACCTGCCAGTCCCAGGAGTGTAGCTCTCAGGCATCCTTGCTCTGAGGTCCGCCTCCTACTTCCTGTCGGCCCCGGTTTCTGAAGTCTCCTGAGAGCGAGCACGGGTCCGGTCCGCGGCCTCTGAATGCAGTCCTTCCTTCCGTCACTCTTCATTCCCGTAGTCGAGGTTTCCTGGAGAGCCACCTGTTCCACACCAGGCCTGCACTAGATCTGGGGGAAGGGTGGTGGACTGGGCACCGTCTCGTCCCCAGGCCACCCACAGGCTGGAGGATCTGGCCAATTATAGCCCACCTGAAAGAGAGCAGCAGAAAAACACTTTGGTGCCCGTGTCACAGACCCCTTTAGTGAAGACTGGGAAGATTTGCCCAGAAAATGTCGTGAGCACGTGCATGTGGCGTTTTGCATAGAATTTCAAGATGCTGAGGAACGCCCCTGACGTCCATTCCAGAACCCCAGAGTGAATGTTCCTGAGTCACAGCGGGAATGTGGCTGAGAAGGCCGAGCCGGGAGGCTGGAGGAATGCAGAGCCCGGGAATGTTTCTTAGCCCTAGGAGTTCACGGAAGACTTCCTGGAGGAAGTCCACCTATTCATGCAACAAACACTTAGTGGGCGCCTACTCATGCCATCCCTTGGGAGGCAGACCACTGAGCAAGAGAGATAAGCTTCCTCCTTTCCTGGGCCATACACAGCCCCGGGGGAGAAGATAAAAAATAAACCAGCCAAGAACATCTGCAGGCCAGGGGAGGCTTTGGGGCAGATCAGGCTGAGCCAAGCAGAGATTCTTAATGGAAAGGCAGGTGGCCAGCCCCGCTGGAGCTTGGTGAGTGGTCTGCGACAGAGATAGAGTCAAGGACAAGGGCCAGATTGCACCAGCCCTGTGGCCCAGGCAAGACATTGTGATTTGACCCAGATGGTCATGGAAACCATTTTTTCTTTTTAAGGTGAGAATATTAAGTTTGCACAATGAAAGCAGCGTGTGCATCATTTTTCTACCGCCTCCTTCTTTTCATGTGAAAATGTTTGACAGATGTAGGTATAAATTAGTTCCTCTTTTTGTTCTATTTTGTTTTTGTATTTACTTTTGTTTTTGGTTCCAGGCATTGAACTCAGGGGCACTTAATCACTGAGCCACATTCCCCAGCCCTTTTTCATACTTTATTTAGAGACAGGGTCTCATTGAGTTGCTGAGGCTGGCTTTGAACTCATGATCCTCCTGCCTCAGCCTCCTGAGCTGCTGGGATTACACACGTGCGCCACCGGGCCCAGCTATTTCCCTTGAAATATTACACAGATGGTTTTCCCCTCTCGGTGTCTGACTTTTCTATTTTATGAGGGGGTGAAAGGGACTTGCATTCAGTAGAAACCACGCTCCGCATTTTGATTCTGTTCTCTCCCCTGCTGTGGATGCCCCCGGAGGTGCTGGGCAGCCTCAGTGGCCTCCAGCCCCGTGGTCAGGAGGGGCATGATTGACTCTCCACCACGTCCTGAGTTACCAGCATTTTTTGCCCCAGGTACTGGACAAATTACAGGCGAACGCATCCTGCTCTCTCACATTACAGCTCTCTTTGAGATGGGGGGTGGGTGGCAGGACACGCACGATTTCCACGTTCCGAGAAGCTGCCCCTTGGTTCCCCGAAGTTGTTACGCTCATGGACGTTCCCACTGGCAGCGTCTGAAAGTTCCTGTTTCTTTATGGCCTTGCCAACTGTTGATCTTGTCCGCCTTTTAAAATTTTGACAATGTTTTGGGCATAAAATGGTAACTCGGTTTAATTTGCGTTTCCCTGATGACTAGGGAGGCCGAACATGTAATTTCGTATTTATTGGCTTTTGGGATTTTTTTTCTCTTGAGAGCTGTCTCTTCACACCTCCTGCTCCTTTCCCACAAGCCGTCTTCCTCTCATTGATTTGTGGGAGCTGTTTATATATTCGAGTTACTAATCCATTGTCTTCTACAAATGGTGCAGCTATCTTCTCCCACGCTGTTTACTGGAGGGTTTTCAGGAGACACCGGCATCTGGTTTGCATTTTTAAGAGATCCCTCTGGCCACGGCATGAGAAATAGACAGGGGCCATGGGCAGGGGTGTAAGTGGCCAAGCCATGTCAGAGGTCATTCCAGTAGCCCAGGGAGGCAGGCAGGTGACCTGGGCTGGGGGTAGCAGGGAAAAGTGAGTAGTTCCAGGGCACATTTTAGAGATGGAGTTGACAGATGTGCTGATGATTGGAAGTCGGGTGAGAAGAAAAGATAGGAATCAGGATGACTCCAGGTTTTGGGCCTGAGCCACTGGGTGGATTGGGTGCCGTCGTCTGAGATGGAAAATGACAGGTGGAGAAACAGGTTTAGGCTGGGAGCGGGAGAGCCGGCATTTCTGTTTCTAGGACGTCGATAGCCTGTAGATAGCCAAATAGTTGCAGGCAGCTGGAGTGGGGAGTCTGGAGTTCATGGGGCTGAGCCAGGGCCAGGAATGGACATTCGGGACTCATCAATACGTGGATGGAATTTAAAGCCCTAAATCAGAATTAGTCGTAGTAAAGGCCGACGTTAGAGGCTGAGCAGCCCTAAAGAATCCATCAAGATCTGCCCTCAAATGTACCTCCACCAGGGCGGCTGTTTTGTTCTGTTGACTCTCTGTGCAGGATAAGGCTCAGCACACAGTAGGCCCTTGGTTAGTATGTGTGGAAGGGACACAGGAAAGAAGAGACCCAAGAAGAACAGAAAGAATGGCCAGAGGTAGGAGGAGGGGGATGGAAGCCAAGAGAAAGAGAAAGATCTCAAGAAGTTAGGACGGGTGGATGGTATCTAATGCCATCAAGGAGTTGGGCACAAGAGACGGGCACCAGAGTGACTGCCCAAGCTGGCGACACAGGGGTCCTCGGAGGCCTGGACAAGGGCAATGGAGGCTTGAAAGATGGCAGTCTGCAAAGCCTATGGGGTGGGGGCCAGGTGGGGGTGGGGAGGGGAGCAGCCTGTGGAAAAGCCCAAGAGGACACGCTGGGGCCGGCTTGTGTCACCGCAGCTGTTCCCCATGACCGGCCGTGAGAGCAGGGCGGCTGCGTGGGGAGAGGCTGGGGCCCGCAGGGTGGGCGTCAGGGCAGAGGGCCAGGGAGGGGGCGGCCGGTTAGACCAACCTAAGGGTGCCCAGCAGGAGGTTTTGGAACATGCTCACTGAGCGGAGGTTAAGGGGGTAACCAAGGGTCCAAGGGGGTTATTCAGGATTCAGGGGACACGGTTCCAGGTCAACTGGCTTCAGGGAAATGGATTTCGTCTTCCTCCACAGGTAACAGAAGTCTAGGGGAGATCTTGGCTCAGGTGCTAGACTTGGACCCTCCTCACTCTTGGTCCTCCTGTCCCTGCGCTGGCTCCTGGTCAGCAGCAGCTCTGGACAGGGAGGGGACGGTCACCTGCAGGTCTAGGGCTTCGTCCGCCTCCCTTAACCCCAGCAGAAAGCCCCACTCAGTTCCAAACTTTCCCATTGGTTGTGCCTGGTGGTCAGGTGTCATGCACGAACCAGTCGGAGTGGTCAAAGATGCGTACTCTACTCTGATTGGTCAGGCCTGTGCTGGGCCTGGGTCCGTCCCTATCGCTACGGTGCAGGTTCTAGCCAAGGTAATTTTCCTCTGGAAAATCAAGGCGCAAAGGCAAAAATGTGGGTGAGGTCTGGTGTTAGGCTGTCAGGCCTACAGAATGACGTGCCTACAGAGCTGGAGATATCAGAATCTTAAAAAAGGAAGTCTGTTAAAGAGGTTTTCTAATCCAGTGCTGTCTGATGGAAACAGAAGGTGAGCTTATATGTAACTTAAAATTTTTAATTCTCACACTAGGAAAAAAAAAAGGAGAAACAGGTGAAATTTATTGTAATAATATAACTTATTTAATCCATTAGATGGAAATTGTTACCTCCACATGCAACCAGTATAAAAAGTACTGATATAGAAAGTATCACATTCTTTTTCATATTGTCTTCACCATCTGTACTTTGTTCTAGAGCGCATTTCAGTCCTAGTGCTGGATTTTCCTAGGCACTCTTGATCTAGGTTCGGTTTTATAAACTTCACAATGGAAAACAATAGGCCCACAGTGTGAAGGCTGTGGACGCAGCCCAGTGGCAGGGCACTTGTCTAGCCTGGGTGAGGCCCAGGTGCCAGCCCAGCACCACAGAAAACAAAATCCAACACTCCAATGACTGGCCTGTGTCTCTGATTTTAAATTTAAATTAATTAAAAGCAAATAAGGTTCCAAATTTCGTTCCATCCCAATAGCCACATTTTGAAGTGAGACACTTCCACATGGATGGCACAGCTCTGACCCCACATGTTTACCTCATCCCTGGCAGTGAGGTCCAGAGAGGGGAGTGGCTGCCCAGGGTTGCTGAGCAGGCAGGAGGAAAGTCCCTTGACTCCATCAGGGCCAATCCACTGCACCCCCTGCCCTGTCTTTAGCAGGGGGAGACGCTGCCCTAGGAGCAGCAGTGTTGGAGGTAGAGTCCGAGTATCTCCATTTTCCTTGTTCCTCTTCCCAGCATCATGAATCCTGGCCTGTTGGAGGCTCGGCCTGACGTGGTGAGAGTCCAGATCTTGCTGAGCTTAAATGCTTCCTCAGATTGTAAGATTTTTATCGTGACTGGGTTTAATGTTAGTCTTCTCGATGAGCAGTCTCTACCAGGGGTTACAAATATCTGTGGACGGAGTGCATAAAAAGACTTCAGCAAGCATTGATTGAGCATCTACTGTGTTCTTGACATGCTACCTCACCTTGGGGACATGGAGGTGAAGGCCACCCAGCTCCTGTCCTCAAGAGGCTCACCTCTGGCCCAGGTACATACATCATCTAGGGCACGCACAGGGTGGTAAGGGCCCTGCACAGAGTGCTACTGAGCCAGCAGATCACGTGCCCAGTGTAGGAAAACCACCAGCACTGCCTCCTGGCAATTGAGCCTCCCAGGAGCTGGACGGGACCTTGGGAAAATCTGTGGGAGCCCACACCTAGCGCTGCCCTGCCGGTGTCTGGCCTCGGCCTGTGGGTGGGAGGGTGTTTGGGTAACAGCCTAAAGGCTAGGAGGGGTTGTTTTTGTTGTTGATGTCTGGAGCTGAGAGGGGCTATTGTTGGGTGAAGTCTCGGCTTGTTGGTGTGCAGGGTTGGTTCAGGATTGCAGGCGGGTGGGGACTGGTGGGGCTCTTGTCCTTCGTTAGCATCCCATTGGAGCAGCAACAGCCTTCTCTCTCTCTCACTCACACACACACAAAACCGACTATATAATTTAATTGGCAGAAAGAAAACATGGACTCCTTTGTTCAAATGTTAAGAATTTCAAGATGGCGGCAGGGGAGAGCATTCCGCCAAGGGCTGCCACACACCAGGAAGCCGGCCCTGCGCACACCTTGTGCAGACACACAGGTCCCCTCTGTTTGTGCGGCCTGTCTTCCCCCTTCTCCACCTGCTCTAAGGAGACTATAAGCATGCCTACTTGTGCCCAGGGCTTTCCAGAATTTTCTCCTGTTCTCTCTCAACGTCTGGATGTGAAAGGTGGTTGACAGGCCACTTTGCACTTGAGGACATGAAGGTGTGCAGGAGCACCCACCCAAAATGTATCTCAGTCCAGAGCCCAGGCTCCCCCCATGCACCCCCACCCCTCGTCCTTAGAGAAATAAGCCACTTCGTCTTTGTGAGTTCTCTGATTTTTTTCCTAACACTCATTTCTTCTGAAGATGGCCAATCTGGTAGAAAAATAGAATCACCAATTTCCTCCAATCTGGTGGGGTCACCCTTGCCTTCGGTGAGTACCAGCCAAGGGGACCCCTGGTGTCTCCACCTAGCACATGTCCCCAGGGCTCTCGGGTGCTGGGACTCCTCCGGGTCACCTCTGTGTCCTGCAGTTGTTCCCTACTCCCTTCCCCTCAGGACTCCCGAGTGGCCCCATTTTACGTTAACTCCTCGTGGTATCACTCACGCGAGCAGCACAGGCTCTTTCTGAGACTTGGGGTCACAGAGACAATAGCAAGTAGCTAAGGTGACTTTGGATGCGCATCTCAGCAATCTCCAGGTCACCACTGCCCCAGGACTCCTTCCTGGCTGAGGTTCCCCAGAGCCGTCTCTCCGTGGTGAAGGACTCCCTGCTCACCCCTCTCTGTTCTCCCTGGTTCCCGGGCTGTCTCTCCTCCCTCTTCCTGGAGATGTCCCGTTCACTCACTCACCCCTTCATTCATCAGTACTTACTGAGCACCTCGGATGTGCTGGGCATGGTGCTGGGTGCTGGAGATACAGAGAAGGACAAGACAAATCCCCGTTGTCATGGCCCACTCTGGTGGGAAGAGGAACTCAAAGCAACACACGGACTAGCTTCTAAGTTTTGGTTCTGGCAAGTGCCGTGAAGGCAAAGGAAGGGAAATCAGACAAGAAGAGGAGGCTCCTTTTAGATTGCATGGTGTTTAAGGTGCCAAGCCCTGAACACTGAGCAGGGACCAGCAGGGAAGGAGGGGCCGGGGACCCTGGCGGAGGCAATACTGTGGGCGAGGACCCGAGGCAGGAGGAGCTGCGGATCTGTGTGCCATAGGAAGGGACCCAGGGGCCTGGACGGAGTCCTGGGGGCCGAGCCAGGCAGACGGAGCTGGAGAGCAGGAGGGGCCCGAATTCCCAGTCCAGCAGGAAGCTCCGGGAGGACCTTGAGGATGAGGCGATGGGATCTGAGTTACGTTTAGGGAATAGTTCTCTGGCTGTCAGGTGGAGAATGGTCTGAAGGATGGAGGGACAAGAGGGGACATGGGGACTCTTATGGACAACTGCAAGGTCCAGGAGGCAGTTGAGGATGTCAGGGGTGGAGGTGATGGAGGCAGACGTTGGCATTGGCTTTGGAGATGGAAGCCTCAGTGCTCCAAGGGGGAGGGTCCTTGGCAGCCCTCACGGGGCTCAATCCCAGGTGCTGGTCCTTACCCTGGGCTCCTGGTCATCTGAGATGGGCAGAGAGCTGCTGGGCCACGTGCAGGGTGTCAAGACCCAGTCGGGCATTGCACGGTGGAGAAAATGTTCCTAAGAGAATCTGTGGCATCTCCCTCATGGGAGACCTTGGGAGAAGGAAGAGATAAAAGTGTGTCCACTTTGGTCTCAGAGGCAGGGCTGCCTGGCACCTTCTGAAGTGCCTTCCAGAACTGGGATTTGAGGTTCCAAGGACAAGACAAGCCGTGGAATCAGTGTTGAGGTCACCCTTGACCTTTGGTTGGGGCTGCCAAGGCCCCTGGGTGAGTCTCCAAAGACTTTGCCCTATTGCTCCACCTTAGGAGGCTGTGTGTCTCCAACACCGAGACCCAGGCATACGACGGAAGGTGGCTGTGTGACCAGCACACTCTCTGGAGTTGCCTGGGGCTGCAGCTGCCCCACTCAGGGCCTGTGGAGTCTGCACGCGGTGGCCGGGGCAAACCCGGGGACAGCCCCCCCAGGACCCTGGAGTTGCCATGATTTCCACGCGCTCTGTGTGACCTTCTCTCTCTCGTTCCTCCAGTTCAGTACACGTAACACCCGGCCCAAGCATGGATCAGAAACCAGCTCCCTCTGATCCATCCTCCTGTTAGAGTCCTTGCTGGGTTTTCTGCGGATACTAAGAGCACTAATTAATACAACGGAATGCGATCACGGTGGACCCTCTCATCCCACCCCATCAGTCTAAGCTGCAAAGATCTTGAAAACCCATTCCTTTTCCCTAAACCCACTGCCGTCGCCCCCGGCCAAGCCCATGTCATCCCCATAAGGGCAGACAC